GAAGAGACTAGATCAGATACTTGTCTTGCAATGCCAGAGCCTCACCACTGGGTGAGGCAAAGCCGAAGGAAGCTCGTCCTTTTCACAGGACCACTCTGTCCCAACGTCCCAAACATCCCAACCCTGTCTGTAGGTGAAAAGCCCTCCATTCCTCCCTTGCTCTGACTCCCTCCTTCAACACTCACCGTAGCCCTTGGTGAAAACATCCCTGGCAGACTTGCCAAGATCAGCATACGTGGGAGGCACAGCCATCTTCTGCCACAACAAAAGAAGCACCCGATATGAATGAATGCATTGGTAATTATGGAAATTAGTTTACCACCAGTAAAAGTTATTTGATATAATTAAACAACCAATAAAAGTCACCCAGCTCTAAAAGTTCCAGGCAGTTTCCCCTGCCAGGCAGGTGTGGGTGTGAGCAGTCTTGGCCTTTGAGGCCAGAGCTGGAGGAACTCAGTTATATTCCTGACTTTAGCAGCCCCAGGCCTAAGCACAAACCCAGAGCACAGGAGAGTCAGTCAATATTTGATGAATGAACGAACTGTCAGACACATCCCCAGGAGCCAGCTTCTTTACTGAACCGCAGAACTCTCGCCAATATGACATATCTTCTTACAAATGCTGGCTGTTCCGCCAGTAGCTGTGCAGAGGGGAAATCAGTTTCCCACAGCAATCGATGTATTTCGAACATGGCTCTAATTTCATTCCAAGTATCAATGGAGTACATTTACACGCCACCACCAGCCCAACTTTTCACAGAATTTTCACATTTCAAGGACCACTTTTGCCATATAAGCTGAGTCCCTCCTCACTTGAAAAGAAATCCAACACATGCTACAAAAGGGGATCCTGGGCCTTCGGGATGGCTCAGTGGCTCTTTAACCAGCTACCAAGCCTGGCTACCTTTGTTCAATCCTTGGGAGCCATGTGGTAGAGCTCCCCCAGCAAGCTGACCTCTGACCTCTGTACCCACTCACACACCCATACACAAAACTAAATACAATTTCAAAAATTATAATAATTGTAATAATAATAATAATAATAATAATAGTAATAATAATTGACTTTTTGTTTTTTGAGACAGGGTTTCTCTTTGTAGTCCTAGCTGTCCTGGAACTCACTCTGTAGACCAGACTGACCTCAAACTCAGAGATACACCTGCCTCTACCTCCTGGAGTACTGAGATTAAAACTGTGCACCACCAACACCCAGCAATTTTTTCATTAGTAGTTTTTAATTAATGAAAACATTATTAACTGCAAACACCCTTGATTAAATCCTGCTCACATTTAAACATAAGGCACCTAGAACAATGTCTAGACCATGCAGAAGAGACAAACACACTTCATCTCGATTTACAATGGCCCAATATTATTTTATCCCATGCGTATAACTGCTCCTATCACTGAGAGACTAGAGCAGCAAATAAATGGGAAGCAATGTTTTTTGTCTTGAGAAAATCTCATATAACCAATAATTCTGGAACTCACTGTCTCATTATGATGGTTGATACTGACTGTCAGGCTTGTCAGAACCTAGTATCACCTAGGAAATGGGCCCCACTGCCCATGGCAGCATTCCCTAGACAGCAGAGCAACAGCAGCACTTAGCACTGTCCGCTTGCTGACTGTAGATTCGCTGCGACCTGTTGCTTCAAGACCCTGCTGCCTTAGCCTCCTGCCCTGTGCACTGCACCCTTGAACACTCAGCCAGAACAAACTCTTCCTTAAGTGGCTTTGTCAGAGTGTTTTATCACTGTAACAGGAAAGGCAACTAAGTAGCCAAAGATGACCTTTGAACTCCTAGCCCTCCTGCCTCTGGGATTACAGGAGTCACACCCAGCAAGAAGTTTATTGTTCATGCCTTGTGCCTGAGGAGACCAAAAAGAGGAAAGTCAGATTCCTTAGAACTGGAGTTGTAGATAATTACATGCACATGGAAGCTGGGACTTTTTTTTTTTTTTAAGATTTATTTATTCTGTATACAGTGTTCTGCCTGCATGTATGACTGCATGACAGAATAGGGCACCAGATCTCATTACAGATAGTTGTGAGTCACTATGTGGTTGCTGGGAATTGAACTCAGGACCTCTGGAAGAGCAGCCTGTGTTCTTAACCCCTGAGCTATCTCTCCAGTCCAAGCTGGGACTTCTGTAAGATCAGCAAGTACTTATTGAGCCATTCCTAGTCACAACCACACTGGGCCTTTATTTTAAAAAGCCAACTATCAGTCAGGCAGTGGTGGCACCTGCCTTTAAATCCAGTGCATAAGGAGCAGAGGCAGGCAGATCTCTGAGTTCAAGACCAGCCTGGTCTACAAATTGAGTTCCAGGAAAGCCAGGGCTACTCTGTCTTGAAAACCAAACAAACAAAACCAAACAAACAAACAAATGCAACTATCAAAGTACTATGGGGGGAACTGAGCCTAGAGCCCAGGGGTAGCACACTTGCTTAGCATGCAGGAGGCCTTGGGTTAGTTACATCGAGGGTACCATCAAGTTAAACTCTTTTTTTAATCGTTTTTTATTGATGTGTCTGTGGGTGAGTATCACATATGGGTTCAGGTACCCTAGAAGGCCAGAAGAGGGAGCTGGTTGCTACACATGACTAACTCAGTCAAATATTTATTAAGCATCTCAGTAATCAGGGAAAGAGATGGTCTCCACTGTAAGGATGACATATGCCTGGAAGGCTTTATACTGACAAACTGTATAGAAAAAAAAAAAATGAAAATTCTACTCTGGGACAGCACACACTGATTTCCATCCTAGAAGAGAAGGTACCATAATGAAAAGTCTCATCCCAGAATCATTAACTTCACTAACCAAAGGAGTGGTTCCATATTTTTTTTATTTCCTTCTTCCTGAGACAGGGTCTCATGTAGCCAAAGTTGGCCTGGAACTTTCTATGTATCGAAAGATGACCTTGAACTAATAACCCCCAAACTTCTAGGATTATAGGCATGCATCACCTCACCTCATTTGTGTTAGGGTCAAATTTAGGACTTCCTGTACACTGGCAGGCACTTTGCCAACTGAGCTAAGTTCCTTTTGCTTTTAAAATATTGTACACCTAAATTATCAAATTGAATCTGCATATATGACACCTGACATGACACATGTATGCATTCACAAACATGAATATACTTGTATGTTTCTGGCAAGGCGAGGTCCCTGGGAAAGACTTCAGGTGATTGCAGGGAACAATCGATATCAACTGACCAAAGTCTTCACTTAAAAGGCCGAGCCCACAGCAGGGCCAGCAAGATAATTTAGTAGGTAAAGGCACCTGCTGCCACACCCGACAAAGTCAGCTGGATCCTTGGGACCTGCATGGTGGAAAGGAGAGCCAACTCCCCAAAGTTATCTCGTGACCTCCACATACTAAATCAACCCATCAATAAATAAATGATTAAATGCCATTTAAAGAATTAAGAGACAGCCCACAACCACACACAGTACACTTGAACAGAACCAGCCGTGGACTCGATGCTGAGTCTGCAGTCCAGGCAGTGCTTCCCATTTTCAGAGGGAACATTTCCCCTAACTGTTGCTCTTATTTCTTGCACCTGAACAGGCTGGAACCATGGGGACCCCAGCCATATTAGGGTCAGGACAGAGCGCCTACCTAACACTGCCCCTTTAGGCTCTTCTAGAACTGGGGACTCTGCTCTTCCCACTGGCCCCTTTCCTTCAAACTAACCCAGCAGGCACATGTATCCCAGGGCCAGGCAGGTGACTTCACACTCAGGCCTGGAAAAATGGCACACACCCCAGGCCAGATGGGCCTGAACCTTCCTAAGAAGTCAACAGCACTCAACCCTGGGCTGAAAGAGAACACAGACCAGCAGACCTGCAGAACATCTTGGCAGACAGCCCAGAACATTCCCCATCTCTGCCTGGATTAAGAGCTATCTGTGAAAACACAAAAACAGGCATATGCAGAGATAGCTCCTTGGTTAAGAGCGCTGGCTGCTCTTGCAGGGGACCCGGGTTCAATTTCCATCACCCACTTGGTGGCTCATAACCGTCCATAACTCCAGTTCTGGGGGATCCAATGCACATGGTGCACATACACAGGCAGACAAAACATTTATACATATAAAACAAAATAAACAAAATGAACAAAACAAAGCAAACAAAAAGAGCCATCTGTGGACAGAGCTGTCCCTGTCAGGCAGGACCATCCGAAGCATCCAGGGTTGCTAGAGCCCACCCCCACCCTGACGAGTTGTTAAGATTTTTTTTGCTTTGTTTTGGTTTGGTTTTCCAAACACAGTTTCTCTCTATAACAGCCCTGGCTATCCTGGAACTCATTCTATAGACCAGGGTGGTCTTGAACTCACAGAGATCTGCCTGCCTCTGCCTGCCAAGTGCTGGGATTGGATTAAAGGCATGCGCCACCACTGCCCAGCCTTCATCTTATTTTTGTGTATACATCTCTGTGTGTGTGTGTACGCCTGCAGAGACCAGAAGAAGACACCAGATCTCTTGGAGCTGGTGTTACAGGTGTTTGAGAGCCACCCAATGTGGGAAATGGAAATCAAACTCAGGTCCAAAGTTAAAACACACCCTTAGGGCTGGAGAGATGGATCAGGGGTTAAGAGCACTGACTGCTCTTCCAGAGGTCCTGAGTTCAATTCCCAGCAATCACATGGTGGCTCACAACCATCTGTAAAGTGATCTGGTGCCCTCTTCTGGCATGCACTGTATACATGATAAATAAATAAATCTTTAAACACACACACACACACACACACACACACACACACACACACACACACACACAAAAAACAAAG